ACAGCACACTTACCTAATCTATTTATATCCGCTTTAAAGCAAGCTCTTTTGGAAATCAAAAACATCTACAAAACTGATTCCTAGACATGTTTTTACCCCGTTAGACACCTGATATCATCATTAACACTGCTGCCGATAACGCGCTGCTCTCCAGATATTTACACGATTCCACCGATGAGGGACTTGTTTAAAATTCAGCTTTTCTAAATCTAAAAGTAGATGGGGATGGTTGGGTTTAGGGAGGGAGGGGGTAGTTTATTTTTATCTCGGACGCCTTTCAGAAATAGAATGCAGTCTAAAAAAAACAGACCTCATGATTTCTTCTCAATCGAAAAGCTTGTGCAGCAAACCGTGCATTTATTTTTGATAGAAGGAGACTTAACCCCCCCCACCCCCAACAACTATGTTACGTAATCTAACATGTGAATGTCAAGAGACAGAACGAGTCGTAGAGAGCGAGGGAGGGGAGTGTGTGTGTGTGTGTGTGTGTGTGTGTGTGGGGGGGGGGGGGGGGGGTTATGCATAGATCTCCCAAAACTCATACCCAGGGAACACAGTGTGCTCTGGTGTCCCCTGAGACGTGGTAGTTAGCTTTCACCCCCTCCCTTCACATATGCGCACACAAGTTGGTGATTCCAACTGTATATATAAAAAATTTTTATAATAAATAGAATAACGCCAGGAAATAGTGCGCCAACAGAACAGGTGGCTTCCCGCATTAATCCCATTTGTCCGTCCATTCACAGACTTTGCAGGAGATATTGTGTGAATGAGTGAGTGGGAAAGTGATGAATGAATGACTGCACGAAATGAGTGAATGAAGAGCAGCAGAAGAAGAATCGCAGGGGGCGGGCATCGCTCCTGTCCATCTCAATGGGTTTTCTTTGTCTTTTTTTCCTCCAGCAGAGGGAAATACGGCTGCACGGGCAATAACCAAGCATGGAGAGCAAACACATACAGTGCACACGCACATTAAAGGGGGGCTAAGAAGGGGTTACAGGGCAGAGGGTCCTGCGCGCCGGCGCGTGCGCGCGCCTCACATGTGACAAAGCCGTTCATACATATTCAGCAGCTCAATTCATGCGGATTCCTCTCTTGAAGAGGTTTATTATGTGTGTGTGTGTGTGTGTGTGTGTGTTCTATAAATAGCACTATAGCTCTGCTTCCATTGACATCATTTAGGCAGGAGAGATGGAAAAATAAATAGGGGGAGGGGAGGGAGCATGGTTCCTTAATCTGGGCTTGAAATTCAAACAAAACCTGGCCAGCCATCCCTCTGTACACACTCTCAACCAAAACGGTTCTACATACTAAACCTAGAGATGACTCTCCTAGACTAGAAACCTTGAAATCTTTTTCTCTTTGATTTTGCTTTAGTTTGAGTTATGTTGTGAATCATGATTTACAATAAAGCTAAACCAGAAAACAAGATTTAAGATCCTTCTCTTTTCTGATTTAAATTCCTATTTTTAGATTTTCTTAAAAATGTGTATTTGGATTTAAATGGATATTATACTTCAGGAATGGGGGTTATCAGTGTATTAAGCCAGTGAATGAGGAAACAAATTAGCAATGCCTCAGTAGATCAACATTAAACCAAGTAAAATCCACAAGGACAAGACATACTGTACCCTTCTCTGGGGTTTCTTGTTTTTTAGTCTTAATGGTTAAAAACCTAATGTATTACCCTGGCAATGGATCCATTGAATCCCTCTCTTTTTGGTGTGTATGCTTGCCCCCATCCAACGGTTCCCAATAGTAAATATCAGACCAAAACACCCACTGTTTCCTAGAAAGACGCAGCCTACGAGTTGCAATGGAAAGCCACAAGGCAGATGGGAGGGGACATCAAACAAATTAAAAGGTGTGTATACAACAGACACATACACACAAGCAGAGATCCCTGTGGAAAAGATGGGGTCCATCATGCACCCAAGGCAAATGTTTTGGAAGGTATTGTTATTGTATTGACATGTTTAAAAAAGGACAAGGCAGAGGGTTGAAGCTCAGTAGGCTGTACAAAGGGAGCGACATTTTCATTTCATTATCAAGACTAACATTTCCGCTCAAACAGACTGACTGACTCGTGTGTTTATATTATTATGGAGGAGGAAAGAAGGACAGCACACTGTTTTTCCATGGTTGGAGTGTCTTAGTCACACCCATGATCTCTCTCTGTCTCTCTAACTCTGTCGTCAGCACTTGGCACTGACCCCTGAATGCTGCGTGACTTCCATTGGTGCTGATGACGTCTTCTATGATACATATCTCCCCATGTGGGTCCCCCGCCTAATCCTGGTATCACACATCTCTGAGTCCCAGCTTGTACCTGCAACAACACATACTTGCGGTTGTTTCGTTTTTCTCATTTATTCTCATTTATTGTGATGCCCTTGTTGATTATTGTGACAAAACACTTTTCCTTTCATTCACAGAGAAGTCAGAGGTCAAAGGTCAGCAGCAGCTACTGAGCCTCCTTGAAGTAGCAGAAGTTCCTCAAGGGCGCTTCAGCAGGCCAGTCATTTGCTTGAACCCTGAAGACACCTACTCGTTCATCCTGCCACCTTTTATTTGTGGTAACCAGAGCAGGTTAGTGGTACATTCATATATTTAGGCGTAGACAGAGTATCTTTCCTCTCTGTTTTTGATCACACACTTCCTCCTCCCAAACAGCACTCGCACCTTTTTTTTTGTATGTTTGGCGCACAATTCTCACAGCAAAAACCTGAAAGGTGTAGTGCTAAATGGCTACCAGACTTGAGATGTAACATCCTACGACATTTGAAATGTGTGTCTCTTAATTCAAGAGGATGAATCATAAAGCCTAATTCAGTACTAATGGTGAATTATTTTTGCCACAGTCTCTCCCTCCCTCTCTTTCACATTTTCTTCTCACTACTTCACTTGTTTCTTCTCCTTTTCTCCACATCACACATATAAACACTGTCTCTTTCTTTCTGCACACACACACAAAAACAAATGCCAACCCAGTGACTAAAGTAGGTTGGGCAAATTTTCAAAGGAGCCAGTCCGAATTCATAAACAGGTGGAAAAGTTCCAAATCAGTAGCCAACATCTGCATGTACAGTGTGTGTGTGTGTGTGTGTGTGTTTCATAGCCAGGCATGCATCAATGAAAATGTGTGTCTTGGAGAAAGGTGCAGGCAGCTATTTCCCATGTGTTTTAGTCATATTGAAAGTGGAAATTGCTAATGTTGCTCATACAATGTGGATACATGTAAAGATAAAAGTCTATAATTCTGCACAATGTTGTTTCTCTGCCATAACTGAAAGAACTGGCTACACTTGATACTTGGAGTGTGAAATGTTTATTAAATGTTCTGCTGATGCTCACTGGGAAATTCAGTTTTTTACTTTCTCAACTCTAAGTAGAACAGGACAGCATTCCCTAGAGTTCTAGATTCTTTAGAGAAAACACATTGACAAAACAAAGTCCTTAAAATAAATAAATAAATAAATAAAATAAATCCTTCATGGGGTTCCAAAAATTCAAAATCACCAGATTTGGAGATGCATGGTTTACAATGTATATAATTTCTACATGATCTCCCATAGCTTGTGAATACGACATGTAAACTGCAGTTCTGTATTGATTCTAGTGAGTGTATTTCTACTGCTTCATCAGCCCATAATCAATTATCAGTGACGATATTTTCCTGGGCTGCAGATGAGTCAGAGCCCTGTGAAAATAATAGCAGTAATAAAGTTTTACGTAGAGGCCACTCTTCAGAATAGTTTTCAAAAAAAGTGCTTTACAACAACACTGTGAAATGGCTCAGCAGAGAAACAGGTGTGCTGACACACTAGATAAATTAGTATAGTATTAGTAAATATAGACAATAAAATTAGAGGAAAAACGGTAAAGTCTTGAGGGTTTTCAGCTTGTAATGACATTTCAGCACCAAGGACAGCTCCTGGAGGTAACCTCTTACACACAACTGTGAACACTTCTTCTAAATCCAAATATATTTCCTCCAAACCAACTATGCAGACACTATTACCTGAAACTAAAACCATTTCTGTGTATTCAACCTCGAAAGAATGACAACTGAACAGAAAAATTCTCAACTTTGGTTTCACCATTAATTCCAATGCTGGTGGCATAGTCCAGTTATCTGAGATTTACCATTTAGATAATTTAACTATTTAAAATGTGAAACATGTTCCAAAGCAGCATAATATAATTAAGAACAATGGGCTCTGTACATTGATTTGGCTGTTATGAATCTAAGGGTTTTTTTGGGATCATTACAGATCTGATTTCCTAATTTATAATCTCTGAAAAGCCCAGCATCCCACCAGCCTGTAGAGTTAGGCTACTTTTTCTGTCTGTGGGTTCAATGGGGGAAAAGGTTTTCAGCACAGTCAGCTGGAGGCTGGAGGATATTTTTAGACCAGAAAGCAACAAACCTATTTTGACCTGATTACTAAAGCTATGACTTCTTATTTTGTATCATTATCATCAGTCAATGTTTGGTTTATTTATGCTCTCTTTTTTCCTTGAATGTGTGTTTGCTTTGGCAACAATGACTAATATGCATATGTAAAATTCAATTTGAATTTGAGTTATTTTTGCATTGTTCCCTCTCCAGTTGGACTCCTCATTGAGCACTGGGTCTTTGCACCCCAGTCGGCTGAGAATTGGTGGTGCTGGGGAGACGTGAAGGGTTTTGGGGGGCTAAAGTTTCCCAGAATAAAACCTAGCTATCCCCCCACTACTCACCAATATCTACCCATACACCCCCTTCACCCCAACCCCAAACAGTCATAAGCCCCACCCCTCTCCCCTTGCCAGCTGAATTAATTTGATACTATTTTTGAAAGTCAGTGTTTCTAAGGGAAACCTAATGACGCAATGACGTCAATGCAGGTCAATAGCACACTGCTGGAGAAGAGGACCAGAGAGAGAGAGAGAGAGAGAGAGAGAGAGAAATACACAGAGATGGAGAGAGCCAGAGAAAAGGGAGAAAGAGAAGTTGTTTCGGGTCTCTTTTCCAAATCCCTTCCCTGTGTTGTGACATTAATGGTTCTCTCCTCCTGGTTTTTATGAATCCCCAATTCCTTCCCGCGAGCTGCTTTTGCTTCGCCTTGGTCTTCGTGCCTTTTTAATTGCGCTGGATTAATTCGTTTCCCCGCGGGTGTGCGCCGATAACAGCGTGGACTCTCAGTCGCGCGTCACCTGCCCCATTCATGCTTTCCATCTCTGCCTGGAAGTCATTCACACACAGGGAGAGACATGTATAGGCCTACACACGCGCATAACCAGTGAGAGAGAAGGAGAGAGAGTCTATGCAGTGAGGTGAATCGTGTGCGCGCCTCTCCAATTGGATATAGTCCCCCTGATTTGGCGGGCTCTTTCTATCAGCTGGCTCACAAAACTCCATGTACTCACCCCCTTCTCTCCAACCACCACCTTTCCACTCCCAAACCCTTTACCCCTCCCGACACCACCACTCAACCAACCCACCTTTCTTTTGAGCTCCTTGAATCCTGAATGGCAACACCAAACGTTTTAATCTCCGACAGAACAGGGAGACGACGCACATCGGACTGACCTGTTTTCGCCACCCTGACGCAGAAGCAGAGATTGTGTGCTGCCCTGCTGCTTACTCTCTCTGTTTCCTCTTCTGTCTGAGCCTGCACACAACCCTTCTTTTAAAAAAAGAGTTTAAAAAGAGAAAAAATCTAAATCTAAAAGGTAAGTGATTTAATTTGTAGATGGCGCGAATCCTGACCCAGAATGTGCTGTAGCCTACTAGTCAAGGAAGTCTGCAGTTAGACCATGCGTAGATATTTTGGGACTTAGAGTCTCGGTTATTACCGGTTGATCTAAGGACTGGGGTAGCACTCTCACGAGCAGGAGTGTAGTGGCGGGGAACGCCATCCAAAGTCAATTTACACAATTATCTAAATTATGTGGGGGTTGTCGGTATTTCAAGGAGAAAGCATCCTGTAGCAACATATGTGCGTTGTCAGAACATTTTACTTGTAATCGTGGTTTCTTGCCTTATAGAGAAATCTAACTGAATCTCATAATTAACATCTTTGCTGCACATGAGGTATCCATGGCGAGTTTATTTAGGTTCATCGCAGGGCACGCCGGTGTTTGCAAGCGTTGCTGTCTCTGGAGACGACCAGACTACACTATCAACACCGCAGTGGAACTGTATTCAGTCAGGGTTTTTTTGTTTTTTGAGTGTATGCATATTGACAACGGAGGGGATTTTGCAGACACTCAAAGAGAGCGGGCTGCGGTATTGCGTAGGAGTATTCACGTGTTGGGGATCCTGTGCTTTAGGCCGCCTGCTCCGCTGAGATGCCTAGTAACAACTGAGAGATACAGAGAGAGGGAAACTTTGGGGAAATGTACTTTTCTGACTCTGTTTCTGTTTCTAATATATGTGATATATTTTGCACTGGTGTCTTCACTGTCGTGCCAAAGCAAATGTGAGCGTGACAGAGAGTAAGCTGACAGCCTCTCATTCTTGTATAGCCTATTTGTTATAGACAAAGCTCAGCTTAGATGTAAGGCGCCTTTACTTCTCCATTTGTAAACAGCTCTCCGCGGCGGACTTGCGTCAGCCCACACGTGTTGCCAGCCACATCGGACGTACATGTTATCGTGTTCTTTTACATGGCAGCGATAAATCTGCATTTGCAAATCCGCATGTTCTCTAACTTGCATTCGCCGAAGCAACATAAGGTAGCACCAATTTCAAGTGACTGTGTTGTGTAAATTGCAGTGGCTACATTGTGTGGCAGTAGGTAGGTCATTGCACTCATTTGAAACCATGACATATCCTGAAAATGAATTTTTAAGATGTATATCAGCCTCAAACGTCATTTTTAAATGGCTAGTTTGAGTGTAGGTTGTTACAGATGTAGGCTACATTTCTGTCTTTAGGCTAACCTCTAGAGATGGTGTGCTGTGATTAATTCGTTGTGCCAATGAGAGCCGCGTCATGTTCCGTCGGACAAAGGCTTCACCAAAGAAAAAAAAAAAAAAGAAGTCTGCTGCGGTTTGCAACTTGCAGGAGTTAGGAGTGCATACTTTTTAGGGTGGGGTGGGGGGTAGGACACAGAGGATCTATAGAAGAGTTTGTCGACACCACGCGTTGATCTTTACGCACTGCACCGAAGAACCTCGTCTGCAGCTCCCTCTTGGAATGATTGTGGACTACAGGGAACTATGTGTATATACATGTGCCTCTGTGTGTGTAGGGTGACTTGTGGTGATGGTGTATGTGTTAGGAAGATAGGATACTTGAATTGTCTCATCTTTTCGTACTTTGGCTTGATTTTGGGAACAAAAGAGAACAAGACAATCACAGCAGAGCATAAAAAACGGAATTATTTTCTTATTCTGTGATTCCTTACGTTGGTTGTGTTAGTGTCGAGGATATGCTAAATAAGCTTGGTATCTATCCACACATTCGCCAGCAGTCACGGACATACAGTTGGCCTACAGGCAGGGATAAAAATAGCACAAACCGATGCAACGGGCGCAGCCCTTTTCCCATCTCAGAGCCGACTTTTCTAGGTAGCTGCCACTCAGTGGATACTCTCCCAACAGCCCACCCCACCCCATCCCGTAAAGTCTCGTGAATCTCCACGCGGCATGAGTGCAGATGGACAGAGTAGGGCGCATGGAGAGCGTCTCGCAGTAAAGGTGTTACAGATATTAAAGGGAAGGTGGGGTGAGATACAGAGCATACTGTGGAGGGGGTTTGTTTGTGCACCTTTGCATGGTTAAGTGTACGCTCCCCTTTGGTCTATTCCGTGGGTAAGCGAGGTCTGGTGCGTGGGCACGGTCAGTGAATATAGGAGATGAGGGAGGCAGCAGCTCAACACATTGTTTTTTCCTCTCCTACGGCTTAGCGTTTTGCCCGCCAAATGCAAAATGCCGGTATGCTGGAATAAAAATTCTCCAAGACCAAAACAGCACCAACGCTTGGTAGGGGGATATATAGAGACAGGGGAAGGAAGGAGGGAGAGAGGCGGAGGGAGAGGGAGGTTGGATGGAAACCCAGATGCTCCAGTATTAGAGGAGGGTTTTTTTTGTTTTTGTTTTTACCAGGAGATAACCTTCTAAAGCTCCAGTCCAAACCACATTATCCACCAGTAATATTTTCCTATTTTGTTACTCATTTTTTTCCATGGCACATTTGCGAAGAGCTGATCGCAGAGTCTTTAATCAGGCTCTACGGGCTGTAAAGTGAGAGAATCTAAACGTGACGTCAATGCCTAGTAACTGACGCAGCCCTTCAACAAAAAATGGCTTTTTATTTATTATTTTTCTTCTTCTCGTCAGCAAAGCTCAATTACTCAATTTTACTGTGCTCCGTCGACTAAAAGAAAAAAGAAAATCCCGCAGGGAGCGTCGGGTAATCCGCGTTCATCAGTATTTGGATCTATTTTGCGTTCATGAGTTTCAGCAGCTGAAGTGACACTGGGACGAGAATTTTCTGAAGAGGGCGACAAGACATCAAATATTATCGATAATCTTTGCAGCGACGATCAGTTCCAGAATTTAGTTGTTGTTGGTGAAAGTAGTGTGTTTTAAGGATGAGAAGGAGGTGGTGGTGCTGTTGAAGGCAGATTGCCCCCCCCCCCCCCCCCCCCAAAAAAAAAAAAAAATCACTGCAATGATGCAACGGAGGGGAATCGGGGCTCTTGTGCAGAGCTGGAGAGGCAAAATTAATTTACATTACATGCACTTCACGTAATGTTCCTAAGCGATGCCTTTTGTGAGTGTTTTTCCCCTTCCTCGTACTGTGACCTAAAAATAGCATCATAGTTTTGATCGTGCGCCAGAAATAGACAGACGGGTATCACTTGTATAAAAAGGGAGGCGATCCTGAGCAAACTTGGACGTGCCACTGTAAGCCTACATAATAACAAATGGAGGACTTAATCTGTTGCATTTCTTCCAGACTCCTGTTGCGGCTTTTCACTGAAATCTCAATCTTTCTGTGTTTCTCTTTCTCCTGTTTAGAGCAAGGATGTGCCTGCATCACGGTGAGTGAGACATTTGCACATGCAATGTTTAATTCCGTGTACTTTTGTGTATGTGGTAGTGCATGCTCCCGAGTGCCTGTGCTGTCTGTCTTCTCCCAATCTTTCCTCATTCTCTGTCTAATGCACGCAGAAACACTTGACTCTCGGTCGTAGGCATGGATTTTATTGGCATGCTTTATGAGCCATGTTTGACTATAAAGCCGAAGCATAGAGCAACCCTTCCTGCAGAGTAGGAATCACCCCTTTTGGTAAATAAGCAAGTGCAAAAACTCCCTTTGTCTGTTGGCGCTGTTGAGTCTCTATCACACATTTACCCCCCCCCCCCCCCCCCCCCCCCATCTCCCTGCTTAACCGCGAAAGCGAGGGGAACCCTTCTCTGATAAGCGCTTAAGGACGCCTTTCCCTCCGTATTCTTGTTTTTAAGAGGAGTCGTACTGACAGAGAGGCGGCGGTGGAGGAGAGGAGGAAGTGAAGTCAAGGAGCTGTTGCTGCAGCAGCAGAGACCAGGCGCACCGCATGGGGAAACCCGGGAGCTGTCCAGCAGCAATGGTGCTGAAACCACACCAAGTGGCGGTAGTGGGCTGTTGCTGGTAGTGGTGTGTGTGTGTGTGTGTGTTTGTATGCATGTGTGCACAGGAGGGGAGGGGGGGGGGGGGGGCTGGCGTTGTTTCTGGCAGCCAAAACCTTTATTTACTCCTGTTTGGAAACCAACAGCATCTATTTGAGTGAATCCTCTTTCCCCAAGCGACGTTGGAGAAGAAATAGCCTACTGAAGCGCCCCGCCTCCTCTAAAACAGCTGCGCTAACTGGGGGGAGACATTTGGCTCGAAAAGATGCTAAAACAGAGTTTTTCCCGCCTATATAGTTTGAACCTCCTCATCGGATGCCAGGCAGGCAGGCAGACGGAGAGAGGGAGCCAACAGCCGGACCGACTTGGATCAGCTCTTCTGCTTACGTCAGTCCCGTAATTTCCTACCGTTCAATCCAGCCTTTTTGAAGTGAAGCAACTTTACCTTCACGTATAAATGAACAGATGATGTATACCCAATGTCAAGTTTGCAGTGAGTTTACGAAATGTTTGAGAAAGAAGCAAAAGTCGTTTAGAAATTCTGCGTTTGAGTTCAGCCAGACGCGCCTAACTTAAGTGCTGAATGAGGTTTTGGTTTAAGGCGTCCTAGCGAGGAGGAGGGCGCGCAAGAGGCGAAGGGAGCGTTGCTATTATCGTCTCTACTCCAAGAACGGGTCTGAAGGAATCATCCTTTAGATTAAGGTATCAGTGCTGAATTAGCGACCCGGATCGGCAAGATGATGAATAGGCTACATGCGTCTGTACAGTTCTGCAGAGAACCAACAGGAACCGCGCTCACCTCAATCCCAGTCTCTGCACGACTTTGATTTTCTCAGTATTTTGAATTCAGGTTACGAGGCTACCGTGCAATTGATGGGGGGGGGGGACCCACATCGACCACCTGTCTTTGTCATGCAAAATCCCGATTGCACTTCACCTGCGATACATTCCTCCACCTCCCCAAACACACACGTACACAAAAAACAACTCTGTACTTCTTCGTCGGTCAAAACGCTCAAATGCCGACTCGAGGGGCCAGATTTTGCTCAATAATTCAATACCGAGCGTGTAATTTCGGTGGAAACAACACAGATTCCCGAGTCGTGACTGCTAAAGTGAGTAATGTACGCGTTGGCTGCGTCAGGAAAGGCAGTCACTGTGCAGTGCAGACGGTGGGGGAGAATCGTGACTGACTGGGTTGCAAATGAAAAGACCACCCAATAAAAAAATACCCACATCAGGAGGGGAGGAGGTAGAGGGGGGCATGGCGGGAGGGAAAGGGTGGGGAATCTGGGTCTGGAGTGGGCTTTGGACTCTGGGTATGCACTAACCATTTCCCTATACACCCCACCCCACCCTCCCAAACATCTTTCTCCCCAAAGCATGCTGGCAGCCAACTTAAATGCAGACGAGTTTCATCAGTGATAGTGGGGCGGTGTGGATGGAGAGAGAGGAAGAGGGGGACGGGGGGGGACGGGGGGGGGCGGGGGATATGTTGGTCTGACACAAACTTGACACAAACAAGGGGGGAGCGGAGAGGGAGATAATGTCCGGATCCAGATCGTGACCCATCCTCCACCTCGGTACAGTAACTTGCAGTACCATGGAGGGCAGGCTGAAGGTTGTTTAGGGGGCTGAAATATTGCAATGGCTTCTGAAAACTAATGGAACTGTTGCAAGAAATAAGCAGGTAAGTTGTTCTCTCCATTTGATTATTCCTTTGCTGAATTTGACCAAAACATATTAAAGATTGTTTGAACTCAGAGTGTGTGAGAATGAGTGGTTTACGGTAGTGATTAACTCTTGATGTGATGCTTAGCAATGTGTTGTTGTTGTTTTGTTTAGTTGTACATTGTTGTTGTAAACTGTTGCAGTATATCCTAGTGGTTATATCATTGTTATTGTGTTTCGTTTCAACTTTAAACCCGCTGTAAATGACTAAACCATCGTGGCTCCGGGCTGAATTTGCAGTTGGAGACCCCCGTGTCGTTTTTGCTGTGGTACCCTCCGGTGAACTCTATAGGTGACCACGAGTCGCCTCAGATGCTTCTTGCTATGTTGTGATGCGATGTGGAGGGCATTGCGAAGCTCCCCACACTTTGTCAATATACAACTCTCATTTTTATTATAATATTTTTGCTTGGTATGTTTGCATTTCCTATAACTTCATGTAGCTTGTAACTGGCTCGAAAGGGAAGGGGCTTTATTTGCGATCAGGTAAAAAACGGCTCATCCTTGCTGTCACATATCTTGTTTATTAATATTGTCGTCATAATTCTGTGTTATTTAGCATGATATAAATCATTTAAAGCCACGCTCAACTCCACAGCTTCGCTAGACGCCCAGAAAATGCAAAATAACAGAGAGGGGAAAAAATAGAAATACATATTAACAAATAACCGCATCAAATGCTCATATCCCTACATCAATGCATATAAGTATACATCTTCTCTGGTATAGATCACAATTTGGTTAGCCCTGTCTATTTTTTTTCAAAAAGGGGGGTCCCTATATGAGCGAGACACCGATTGGTTGATGACGAGGTTCGGTTTCTCCAATAAGAACCCTCCCTGCTCTCTATTTATTGCCAGCAGTTTACAGCCTTGCTCTCTCCTCACCCAGAGCTCTGGAGCGGCTGCAGAGAGCCAAAGCTTCACTATACGGAGATACACCACGGACCAGGGAATATAATACACAGAGAGAGAGCACACTGACAACAATACGGATCGATGCACAGCTCTCAGTGATCACACGGGCTTTGCACATCCGAGCGTTTGGATAAAAAAAAAAGAAAAGAAAGGAGAGGAAAATATGAGGGAGAGAGAGTGGAAGGGGGAGAGGAGAGAGTGGAAGGGGGAGAGGAGAAATGAATGGATGAGGGAGAGACGGGAGGGTAGATAGAGGAGAATTCAAACTGGAGAAGGAGTGGGGAATCAAAGCGAAAGGACCTTGGACAGCTCTCAGTTGCAGCATCAGCCTTGGCATCCGGAGACCCCCCCCCCCCTTTTCTCTCATTCTCACCATCCTCCATCCATCCTCTCTCTCTCCTAGTGTGTGTGTGTTTGTGTGTGTTTGTGTGTGTTGGAGGGACACACTCGCCTCGGGTTGCCGATGGCTGGAGATACAATCAACCGAGTCGGGATGGGAGATAAATTCACGGAAGCAAAAGGAGAGCAGACTCCCCGGGTGTCACGGAGTCTCCGTCGGACGGCAGCAACAGAAGATAATGTCCTTCACGAATCTTTTTGCGGTCTGGGCTTGCTGTTCATAACTATTAATCTGGGAAGCCCTTACCCCAAAAAGCATTTGCGGAGGGCGCAATCGCCGCGCTGAGACATCGACATCGGAAGACGGCTCCACTAGTGGAATTTTACAATCTTTAATTTTTTAAGGGCTTGTTTTCTTTTTCTGCTCGAATTTTCTTTTTGCTTTATTGTTGTCATCATTTGCTCTTGTTATTTTCGTCATTGCCATAGCAGTGGCGTTTTTGTCACTGTTGCTTTTTAGCCCTGTACGTGTGTCATTTTTGTTCCTAACCAACAGTTTTCTTCTTTGTTAAAAATTGTGGCGAAGCTCTGCAGCCACGTCGCGCCCGAGTTTTTCCACAAACTCTTGCGTACATAAGTGTCCAGAAAAAAAAGATTGTTTTGGTGTTTCTGTCAACAAACATGTTCTCGGACCCAAAACTTTGAGTCATGCAACATTAAGTCATTATTTCAGCCAAACACACCCCCAACCCCCGTCCCACACTGAACAATTGACAGTAGCCCCCATCAGAGCAGAGTGTAAACACAGGGAGACCCTTGCAGTGAACAAGTTGCACGTGGGAAAAACAGTGAAGGGTGTGTGTGTGTGTGTGTGAGAGAGAGAGAGTGCGTGCGTGCGTGCGTCTACCTCTTGGAGGGCGGGGTGCCACTTTGCTTGGACGTCAGTGAACCCCCAATCCCGTCAAAAAAAAATAATGTGGGGAAACGTACACACACACGCACGCACACACACATGTAAGTAAAGTGCATATGCAAGGGATTCCCCAACAAGGCCATCCTAACATAGAGAGAAGCCCAGTTTGGTATATGGAGAGGAAAAAGGAACATCTGCAATCACTGCCTCATACACTGTGTGTGTGTGTGTGTGTGTGTGTGTGTGTGTGTGTGTGTGTGTGTGTGTGTGTGTGTGTGTGTGTGTGTGTGTGTGTGTGTGTGTGTGTGTGTGTGTGTGTGTGTGTGTGGCCTCCGTGCGAACATGCACGCAGCCTCTCCTTTAACACACACACACTGTGGAAACGCACACCTGTCTCCCTCCGAGTTTTGTGAATAGTAGTTAATCCACCTCAAGCATTGCCCATCACTGTTCTCTGTCAACGTTCCCCACAAATAGCACACAGAGAACCGGACACAATCACGTCCCTTCAGCCTGACCTACCAAACAAAACAAAAACAAAAAAAGGGGGGTAAAACAACATCAACCCTAAATGTTTGCAGCTTGACGGCTCGGTCAATATACTCACAAGTTCTGCTGCACAGCAAAACTCTGGCCTCCCATGCTGTATGTGAATTATCAGTGGTGTGTGTACGCAAAGTAATCACACCGATGAAAATAAAAGTCAGACATGAGAATTCTCTTCCTTAAAAGACAGAGTAAAAAGAACAAAAGGAGATGCAATTCAATTTAGCCTCGAGAAGAAAAGCACATGCAACTTTATGCTTAGTTTGTTCTCTGCAGTGCCCTCACATTTGAAGGGAGCATTACTGTGAATTATCATAATTCATGCTAAAATATGTTTGTAATATAGGACCAAATAGCAGCCAAGTGTAGTTTTAAGATGGAAGACGTGCATGCCTACTCATAAATGAGACGCACTATGAAATATTAGGCCCCCTTTGCGCTGCAAGACCTGCAAGTTACAGGTCTGAAGTTTAGCACGACAATATATTGTTACGATTAAAGCGTTTAGATGGCTTGTCTCTATGGAAAAGTATAGGTACCAGAAAAGAAACAAAGGAGGAAAAAAACAGAGTTCATGACGTGCAGCTGCAAGATGAGCACACCTTGCTAAACATCCCAGCAGGCGTATCTGTAATTTCCGAAAGTGACATGTGACCCAACCCATGAGCAAAGCACTGGTGATGAAGCCTGTGCAGGCTGCGCAGAATGCTACGCAGAAGATGCAGTTGCTTGAACGATCTACGCCTTCTTGCAGGTTGCCATATGGCCTGCAACGCATGTAAGCAGGGAACATGTTCCGTTAATGGACTTTGACAAGACAAAGCAAGCAAACAAAAAAACACCTGGAAACGACAGAACAGACAGAGATGACGTAAAGGGAACCAGCGTGACCTCTGACCTGTGGAGTGACCTCGCGTTTCTCTCTATCGTTAGTGCGTTTAATAACAAAAGCCATAGTTTGGTGCTGTTTGGTGGGGATGTGATTGGAGTTAAACGTACCCATGGATTTCTTGATATAATTTTTGCATTTTACTGCACGGGTTTATATCAGTCTGTGCGCAAAACGGAGACTTTTCTGAAAAAGTTTCTTTGTGGCTGTGTGGCGCAGTCTGATATCCAGCGGTTGCAGGTCATAAAGTTTCTCCACCTCTCTCCAAATTCACATTTACATTGCATCTCTGTCCTGACCGTGTTTGTCTGCACGCACACCCACAGACTTTACTTTATAGACAGTTAAATCTCACAATGCGTGTCTTGTCTTTCTGTCTCACAGGAGAGAACAATGACAACGAAAACAAGAGCATATGAGGTGACGTGTGCCAGGGTGGACTCTATCGCTGTCGTGGAAGCCTCCAGCTGTGCGCCTGAGAAAAAAAGGGGACCCACGTTTTGGATGTTTTCACCGAGGTGCGCATAGAGACAGACAGAGACACCGATCGTCCGACCGACCTTCCTCCTCCTTGTCCTCCCCATCTGCCTCACTTCGAGAAAGGTAATTGCACGGCCTGAGATGTGTTAGGGGATGAGGATGACGTCAAACCCAAATCACTCTTTAAATTGCACTTTGCGTGAGGCTCGTTATGACTGCTTGGTGCTTATGAGCAGGAGTTGTGTCTGTGCAGGGGCTTGAGGTGCTGGATTTCCTTCTCTTATACATGCCAAGAATCGTTGTGTCACCTATGTTGAATTAAGTCTCATACATTTAGAGGATTTTTGTTCTTGTGAATATTTAAAACTCTCTGTAGCCTATAAACACATCTAGAAATGATATGTACAAGTTGCAGCATGCACATTTTATACCTCACTGAAATAAGCCTTTTAAAATTCTTAGATATACCTACAGGAGGGTCTTGGCTGTGTATTAGTGACTTAATAGTGTACCTGGTATTTCACATGTCCTGTCACATCAGTATAATATTTCTAATCAGGATTAATGTTGTTGTGATGTAAACCAGTGCACAGGCATACCGCTTACCAGTCAATTTGATATTGTAACTGTCACGTATAACATCAGTCTTCTGGTTGCAGTTTAACTTGGAAGATAAACTTTTTTGTTGGGTCACCCTTCACACTGGGCTATTCAGCTATTTATTAGGCCTATGTAGATGTAAAACTATGTGATGATGTGAAGCTACCCGGTGATTAAAAATGTTTATTGATGATATTTGAGCAGGTTTGAGCGTACATAGGCTGTGACCGACTGTATCTGCTGTATACTCTTTGTTTTTGGCACCAGGAGCTGTAAAGTCCCCTCCCAAATACCTGCTGTCACCTCTCAGTGTGAGTCATCATATCATAGACAGTTCAGGCAACACCTCGACGTCACGTTAGATTTACTTGCCCTTGTAATAACGCTGTAGTTACCAGTACAAGCAGAGGGCACCATGACCTGGTGCAAAGATTCAGGCCAACATATTTTGTGTCCTACTAAAACAAAAAGTCTCTCCCTGTTTCTAAACAATTGGTTTTATTGTTGTAGTAATTATATATAGGGCCTATACTGTAAATCAAAGAGTGAGTTAACGGCATGATCATGTTGATGAATTTTAGTTATGTTGGCTACAGGGGCCAAGATGCTTGCCCTGACCTACTATCTTTATTTGTCTTGTAAAAAGTAGTAAACCACTGCCTTTTGTAACATACTACAAATTTGCATTTTCAAAACATAGCCTGCTGGAAGTTTAAAAATGCATGACTCCAGGTTAGGGTCATTTCTCTGTGTTCAGAGAAATTATCACTGCTAAAATCAGGGTAAATACATTTTGTCCTAGATTTATATAAAGGCTCACCCAAATTGCCAAAACATATTTTCTCAGGTTCCCTTTAGGTTGCCGTAGCCATGCAGATATTCTGGTTTTATTTGTGCAGGTTTTGAGATATCCATCACTGATATTTTTACTTCAACCCCAATACAATGGAAGTGAATGGAATTTTGTTTGTGGTGCTCACAGCGTTGACATGTTATATTTACAGTATCCTCATTTATCAGGATAATCCACAGAACACACTGTCAACAGTTGTCACACACACACACACACACACACACACACACACACACTAATTTTCACAAGAAAATTAGCGTGTATGTTTGTATTGCATACAATTACAGCACAAAGTTTGTCAATGGGCTATTTGGTGTTTTATTGAAATAATTGGCTACTAGTTAGTTATTGTGTGCTGCTGTGGTGATTGTATGACTTGTATCACTTTATTGGACGTCTTTAAACGTGATGTTTGTGTTGTTGCTTCCTTTGTGTGTACTGAGCTCAGAATGATAATATTTCCAACACCAAATCACAAGGATTAAAGTGGGGATGCAAAATGGTCAATCATCAAATAGTGAGAATTGTTTGGTGTGTATTTTGTATCCTGTTCAAGCTATTGGTGTTATGGTAACACTGTAGCACTATTTAACAGCGATCAAATCATCACATAGTGTGTTTGTTATATATTTAGTTTGGCTCTTTTAACTTGTACATTTTAAACACTACTATTAGACTGATTCCAGGTCCAGTTACACTGTGCTTTAAGGCTATACACATTATCTAATCATAAGTATCCACAATGACTCATGATGTCTGATTATTGACATGCTCTCTAACACTAAATATATTATATGAATAAATACTGTATAATACAGCTTTGATGGGAGTTTTCATATCATCATATGCATGATGCAGTATGTTTTATCTGAATCAAAGTGTAAAGAGAGTATCTCTGCCCTGACCTCATCTCACCTGTGTATGATAAATCGTGGGATGTTTCTAAATATCTAATGTTTAATATGAGCTAGCAGTGCAGAAGAGATGACATCATGGTTTAAACTGAGACCAAGGGGTTTTGAAGACGTTGGCTACAAAAAGGCATGAGTTACGTTTGAATCTAGGTGCTAAAACCACAACACCCAGCATCTGCTGCTTTGTTATCAAAAATAGACTATTTGTTTCAGCATTTATTTTGGCAGATTATCCATAGACTGTATTGTGGCATTACAGTGATGTTTACATCTGGTTGATGAGTGGTGTGTGCACCCCACAAATGCACCTTTTGAGTATTTATCAGAGATTAAATTTTTTTCAAGTAATCTGATCAGTGTCATCAAAGTATAAACACAAATTATAATCATTTACATAATTTATTTGCTAATCATTGAGTGGTGTGATATTTTTTTGTGTGATATCGTTAGTGTGTGTAGGTTGGCCAATAATGATGCCCTCTGTTATGTTCCACCTCCCATTTGGTTTGCAGTGTGTAAGATACTAGAGATACTATGGGCTAATACACCAGGAAAAGCTAAAAAGGTTTTTGAGGCACTTAAAATGTGATTTTAAAGGATGAGGCTGGTGAAATTCTACAGTTTTCTTATGGTTAACAAACAAAAGACCAAAACCAACAATGACTTGATCATTCTAACAAGTGTTGCCTGTGTAGCCATATACCTATATCGTATTTCTCTGTGCCATAGAGTGCCACTGTTGTCCAAAAACAATCAGTCGATGTGCTTTGCTCTGAGTGACATGTTCCTGTTACTACTAATGTGGTTATTGTAGTTTATTTAGAGTCAGTCCTATATACATTGTCCTGTTGCTGAAAATACTCTAGTGAACCAGATGTGTATCAATCCGCAAGTGAAAATAAATGCGCTATTTACCCGTAGTGTCACAAACAGGTTAGAAAACTCGGAAATAATTGAGAGACTGTTTAACTCACTGTTAGATTTGGTCTTTTCGTGGGATAAGAAAATAAAGAAAATTGCAAATCAAGTCTTTGTCCTTTAAGAATCTTAAAATGATCATGAAGCGAGACATTTATCTTAATATACATTATCTGTTGCTTTTGTCAGATTCATTTATATTTCCTTCAGTCAGAATTTCTAGTGTAATAATTTTTCTTTCTCTCTACTTTGGACATATAATTTCCCACAGAAAGTGACCACCATTTTTTTGTATCAATCTTACACATTTTTATTTTAATCAAATAACAGTCAATTTGCTGCTGTGATTGTTTGCATAATGTTCTCCCCAGCTAGTGTTTGTTGTAAAGGTTCAGTTAATCATTTTGGGTAAGGTTAGGTTAAAGCTGTGGACGTGGTTTTGAGATCAGGCTGTCTATTCTTACAGATTCCCCCCCTTTTGCCCACTTTTTGATATATGCAAAATGAACTGCTTGACTTTAGATTAAATCTTGCAAGATCTACAAAGGTTTTACGCTGGAAAAAATCCAATGAGAATGGATTGAGGCTGACCCCATAAGGGGAGCGTTCAGTTGGGATTTGTTGCATGCCTCTGAAAACATAGCTGTAGTCCAATTAGGTTTGAATGAACGAAGCATAATTATCTGTCTTCATAGCACCAGTTTATTCAGAAACTAGTTTTAAAAGACCAATGAGAACCAAGAAAGTAGTTAATTCATCCAATCAAGTGTAAAAAAGGATTTTGGTGAAACCCTACTTTGCCATTTTTCAGCCAACTGGAATGGCCATTTCCCCTCACACTGCAGTCCTTCTTGCTGCTAACACCCACTGTTGGCCTGAGCACAATGTAGACTGCAGTATGTCTTCTATAAAACATGGAGTTGCCAGTCACTTCTTTTCACAAGACAATAGTTTATCTGCAGGTTGTAAGTTATACTGAGGTTCATGCTGTTGCATCAGGACTGACAAAGCCCTCTAGCAGCTGTAGTAATTATGCCCGAAGCAAATGAGGATGTAAGGTGATGCTGTTATAGAGCGACAAAGGCTGTGTAGAGAAAAAATATTGGACTCTTGAACACGGGAGAACGCTGTTTGTTTCCTGTTTCTGACTGACAGTCAACGCTGTTGTTTTCAAAGCATGACCACTCCTAACCTTAACCATGTTTTTACTATTGGAACCATGAAGATGAAGATCCCCTAACTTCATTGAAGTAGATATTTGAACCCAAACAACAATGTAACCTAGCAGTGTTGAATCATAAAACAGATTTATTTTTCAGCAGTGGTTTGTACTGGTTTTGTAAGGCAGACCAATTATGTTGTTCTCTATAGGGACATCCGATCAGTTCTGGAGAGCATGGACAAGAAACATATTTAGTGCTTTGTTTTTGATTATGTGTAATTTTTATACCATATTCATACTATGTTAACTTCTGATTCTTGTTATATGGAATAACAAACTATTTTTCTGATGTGATTATAATGTGCCGTATGTGCAATAAATCCAACACTTGTGCAATGTGATGGATTCTAATACAATACCGCTGCAACAAATGCTACTTAAGCTAAAAGCTTAGCTTAAAATGTTTTATTTTTGTTGACACAGTGTCAGGTAAGTGGTAAACAGGTAATCTTTAGGGTCAGGGGTGTTGTGATATTGGATTTCATTATATTAGGTGTAAATTACATTTGATGTACTTAAACTGGTCCAAAGATTCTGCATAGGGCACTCAAATGGTCCATTGTCTGAAGTCAATTTGTTACTTTTTTAAAATAAAAAATATGAAACTATTTAATAA